AAGTACTTACACAAATAAGTACTTACACACAAAAGTACACAGTCACAATACCCCAAAGAAGTACTTACACAAGAAAGTACACAGTCACAATACCCCAAAGAAGTACTTACACAAGAAAGTACACAGTCACAATACCCCAAAGAAGTACTTACACAAGAAAGTACACAGTCACAATACCCCAAAGAAGTATTTACACAAGAAAGTACACAGTCACAATACCCCAAAGAAGTACTTACACAAGAAAGTACACAGTCACAATACCCCAAAGAAGTACTTACACAAGAAAGTACACAGTCACAATACCCCAAAGAAGTACTTACACAAGAAAGTACACAGTCACAATACCCCAAAGAAGTACTTACACAAGAAAGTACACAGTCACAATACCCCAAAGAAGTACTTACACAAGAAAGTACACAGTCACAATACCCCAAAGAAGTACTTACACAAGAAAGTACACAGTCACAATACCCCAAAGAAGTACTTACACAAGAAAGTACACAGTCACAATACCCCAAAGAAGTACTTACACAAGAAAGTACACAGTCACAATACCCCAAAGAAGTACTTACACAAGAAAGTACACAGTCACAATACCCCAAAGAAGTACTTACACAAGAAAGTACACAGTCACAATACCCCAAAGAAGTACTTACACAAGAAAGTACACTGGCTTCCTGTTCCTCAGAGAATAGACTTCAAAGCAGCTTTACTTGTGTACAAGTCTCTCCATGGTCTCGCGCCAAGGTACATCCATGACATGTTTGTGCCATATGAACCGACCCGGACTCTGAGGAGCACAGGGACTGGACTCCTGTTAGTGCCCAGAGTCGGTACTAGACATGGGCAAACTGCATTTCAGATTCATGCGGCTAGAGTCTGGAACCGTCTTCCTGAGAATGTGAGACAGGCGTCTACTCTGGCATCTTTTAAACCTAGGCTCAAAACAATTCTGTTTAGCTGCGCATATACAACTGAATGATTTTATCTTTTCATCTTTGTTTTTATCTTTAACCTTTTTAATGCACTGTGACTATTTATGATTTTAGTCCCATCTGTGATTTTAATGTTTAAAGGTTTTTAATTTTTGTGATTTTATTTTTAATGTTTTTAATATATCTTGTGCTCTTAATGTGTTTGATTTATGCATGATGTGATAGGGGATGTGAAGCGCTTTGCGTTGCCTTGTGTAGGAAAGGCGCTCTACAAATAAACGTTGATTGATTGATTGATATAGGGTGTCCACAAGAGTGCACATACCACGCAAAAGCCTACAATAGCCAGCCCAGTTGAAAAAAAAGTGATTATCGTATGCTGTACAGAGTTCAAACGAGACTTATAATGTTAACCACTTAGCCGCTTAGCATGTCTTGCTCCTGGTATGCGTGCGCATCTCCGAATGTTTGTAAACAAGAAATCCATGTATTAGATCACATCTAGAAACTGTGTCATATGTCCATGAATGTAAGTAAGTTTACAAGTGTTATTTTTTTGGGCAATCGTCCTCTTACTCCAGACCAGACAGATAATGCACCTTTGTCAAGTTCTGCTGGTTTGAAATGTAATGAATTCAAAAAATCTTATTTATGGGATCATGTATTTTTATGTAATCCTAAAATTATAATTAAATAAAAAATAGCACGATAATCATTTAACTATATTGTTTTATGCATAATATTATTCCAAATCACAGTTGAATTGTTCTGTCCCTAAGTATTTTAAATCAGGTTAAACTCACTGCCCAGGGGTTGAGTATCATGAGTCAAGAACTTTAATAAATAATTTTATTGAACACAGAGAAACAGACTTGAACTGAACAGGAACAACACAGTAGAAAGGATCAAAATGACTTTGTTCCAGATGTGACGTCAGGCTCTCCAAGACCAGATACAGATGATGCTAATCCTGGAGGAAAACCTGTTTGTATTCAGCTGAAGAGAGACTAGAGGGACCAGAGAGAGACCAGAAAGACCAGAGAGAGACTAGAGAGAGACTAGAGAGAGACTAGAGGGACCAGAGAGACAGACCAGAAAGACCAGAGAGACTAGAGAGAGACTAGAGGGACCAGAAAGACCACAGAGAGACTAGAGAGACTAGAGAGACTAGAGAGACTAGAGGGACCAGAGAGAGACCAGAGAGACCAGAGAGAGACCAGAAAGACCAGAGAGAGACTAGAGGGACCAGAGAGAGACCAGAAAGACCACAGAGAGGACAGAGAGAGACTAGAGGGACCAGAGAGAGACTAGAGGGACCAGAGAGAGACCAGAAAGACCAGAGGGACCAGAGAGAGACCAGAAAGACCAGAGAGAGACTAGAGGGACCAGAGAGAGACCACAGAGAGACTAGAGAGAGACTAGAGGGACCAGAGAGACAGACCAGAAAGACACCAGAGAGACTAGAGAGAGACCAGAAAGACCAGAGAGACTAGAGAGAGACTAGAGGGACCAGAGAGACCACAGAGAGACTAGAGAGAGACTAGAGGGACCAGAGAGACAGACCAGAAAGACACCAGAGAGACTAGAGAGAGACCAGAAAGACCACAGAGAGACCAGAGAGAGACTAGAGGGACCAGAGAGACAGACCAGAAAGACACCAGAGAGACTAGAGAGAGACCAGAAAGACCAGAGAGACTAGAGAGAGACTAGAGGGACCAGAGAGAGACCAGAAAGACCACAGAGGGACCAGAGAGAGACCAGAAAGACCACAGAGAGACCAGAGAGAGACTGGAGGGACCGGAGAGACAGACCAGAAAGACCAGAGAGACTAGAGGGAGACTAGAGGGACCAGAGAGAGACCAGAAAGACCACAGAGAGACTAGAGAGAGACTAGAGGGACCAGAGAGAGACCAGAAAGACCAGAGAGACTAGAGGGACCAGAGAGAGACCAGAAAGACCAGAGAGACTAGAGAGAGACCAGAAAGACCACAGAGAGACTAGAGAGAGACTAGAGGGACCAGAGAGAGACCAGAAAGACCACAGAGAGACTAGAGGGACCAGAGAGACAGACCAGAAAGACACCAGAGAGGACAGAGAGAGACCAGAAAGAGACCAGAGAGAAACCAGATAGACCAGAGAGAGAGAGAGACCAGTAAGACCAGAGAGAGACTAGGGAGAGACTAGAGGGACCAGAAAGAGACCAGAGATCTGTCTCAGTCTCAGTCCTCAGTCTCAGCCTCGTCCTCAGTCTCAGTCTCAGCCTCAGTCCTCAGCCTCAGTCCTCAGCCTCAGTCTCAGTCCTCAGCCTCAGTCTCAGTCCTCAGCCTCAGTCTCAGGCCTCAGTCCTCAGTCTCAGCCTCAGTCTCAGCCTCAGCCTCAGTCCTCAGTCTCAGCCTCAGTCTCAGTCCTCAGTCTCAGCCTCAGCCTCAGCCCTCAGTCCTCAGTCTCAGCCTCAGTCTCAGCCTCAGTCTCAGCCTCAGTCTCAGTCCTCAGTCTCAGCCTCAGTCTCAGTCTCAGCCTCAGTCTCAGTCCTCAGTCTCAGCCTCAGTCTCAGTCTCAGTCTCAGTCTCAGTCCTCAGTCTCAGCCTCAGTCTCAGTCCTCAGCCCTCAGTCTCAGCCTCAGTCCTCAGTCTCAGCCTCAGTCTCAGTCCTCAGTCTCAGCCCTCAGTCTCAGCCTCAGTCTCAGCCCTCAGTCTCAGCCCTCAGTCTCAGCCCTCAGTCTCAGCCCTCAGTCTCAGCCTCAGTCTCAGTCCTCAGTCTCAGTCTCAGTCCTCAGCCTCAGTCCTCAGTCTCAGTCCTCAGTCTCAGTCTCAGTCTCAGTCTCAGCCTCAGTCTCAGCCTCAGCCTCAGTCCTCAGCCTCAGTCCTCAGTCCTCAGCCTCAGCCTCAGTCCTCAGCCTCAGTCTCAGCCTCAGTCCTCAGCCTCAGTCCTCAGCCTCAGTCCTCAGCCTCAGTCTCAGTCCTCAGCCTCAGCCTCAGCCTCAGCCTCAGTCCTCAGCCTCAGTCCTCAGCCTCCTCAGTCCTCAGCCTCAGTCCTCAGTCCTCAGTCTCAGTCCTCAGCCTCAGTCCTCAGTCTCAGTCCTCAGTCTCAGTCTCAGCCTCAGTCCTCAGTCTCAGCCTCAGCCTCAGTCTCAGCCTCAGCCTCAGTCTCAGTCCTCAGCCTCAGTCTCAGTCCTCAGCCTCAGCCTCAGCCTCCTCAGCCTCAGTCTCAGTCCTCAGCCTCAGCCTCAGTCTCAGCCTCAGTCCTCAGTCTCAGCCTCAGCCTCAGCCCCAGTCCTCAGTCTCAGCCTCAGTCTCAGTCCTCAGTCTCAGTCCTCAGTCTCAGCCCTCGGTCCTCAGTCTCAGCCTCAGTCTCAGCCTCAGGCTCAGCCTCAGTCTCAGTCCTCAGCCTCAGCCTCAGCCTCAGTCCTCAGTCTCAGTCTCAGTCTCAGCCTCAGTCTCAGCCTCAGTCTCAGCCTCAGTCCTCAGCCTCAGTCTCAGTCCTCAGTCCTCAGTCCTCAGCCCTCAGCCTCAGTCTCAGTCCTCAGCCTCAGCCTCAGCCTCAGTCTCAGCCTCAGTCTCAGCCCTCAGTCTCAGCCTCAGCCTCAGTCCTCAGTCCTCAGTCCTCAGCCTCAGTCTCAGTCCTCAGTCCTCAGTCTCAGTCTCAGTCTCAGCCTCAGCCTCAGTCTCAGCCTCAGCCTCAGTCCTCAGCCTCAGTCCTCAGTCCTCAGTCTCAGTCCTCAGTCCTCAGTCCTCAGCCTCAGTCCTCAGCCTCAGTCTCAGTCCTCAGCCTCAGCCTCAGTCTCAGCCTCAGCCTCAGCCTCAGTCTCAGCCTCAGCCCTCAGTCCTCAGTCCTCAGTCTCAGCCCTCAGTCCTCAGTCTCAGTCCTCAGTCTCAGTCTCAGCCTCAGTCTCAGCCTCAGTCCTCAGCCTCAGTCTCAGTCCTCAGCCTCAGCCTCAGTCTCAGCCTCAGTCCTCAGCCTCAGTCCTCAGCCTCAGCCTCAGTCCTCAGTCTCAGTCTCAGTCTCAGCCTCAGCCTCAGTCTCAGTCTCAGTCTCAGTCTCAGTCTCAGTCTCAGTCCTCAGTCCTCAGTCCTCAGTCTCAGTCCGTTCCTCTTCATTAGTTCTGTAGTTCTGCGTGGCCTGGAAGGTCCAGTCCTCAGAGTGCTCCGAGCCACTGGGCCTTTCACAAAAAACAATAGAGAAAACACATTAGCATTATCATTTTGGCCTTATACATAACCTTAAGAATGTTTACTTTGGCCCTGCTTTAAAAAATGTGCTTTAAAATTAAAGATCACTCACATATTTTAGAATGGATACATGCATCGTAGAAAATGTAACAACGCCAGCAGTGGTAGAAGCAGGTGGTCTCTGTGTTGTCTGTCTGGACCAGAGGTCTCTCCCCCTGGTCTCTCTCTGGTCTCTCTCTCTCTCTGGTTTCCCACTGGTCTTTCTATGGTCTCCCTCTCTGGTCTCTCTCAAGACTCTCTCTGGTCTCCCTCTGGTCTCTCTCTCTGGTCTCCCACTGGTCTCTCTCTGGTCTCTCTCCCACTGGTCTCTCTCTGGTCTCTCTCCCACTGGTCTCTCCCACTGGTCTCTCTCTCTCTGGTCTCCCACTGGTCTCTCTCACTCTGGTCCCTCTCTGGTCTCTTCTTTCGTGCTGTTTTTAGGATGAGCGACTTACGAGGGACTGAGGTAGTTCAGTGTGAGGGCGCTGTCTGTGTCCGTGTCCTCTCCAGGGTCTGGTCCCGGACTGTGGACTGGCCCAGGACTGTGGACTGGCCCAGGACTGGAGACTGGCCCAGGACTGGAGACTGGCCCAGGACTGGAGACAGGCCCAGGACTGGAGACTGCAGGAGGTGCTACATCTGGACACAGGACACCACTTTATTACACATTCTCCTCACCTCCTCCATCACTTCCTCCATCACCTCCTCCATCACCTCCTCCATCACCTCCTCCTTCACCTCCTCCATCACCTCCTCCATCACCTCCTCCATCACCTCCTCCATCACCTCCTCCATCACCTCCTCCATCACCTCCTCCATCACCGTGTGGTTCGCTGGAGCCACAGTCAGGGACAAACAGAGACTACAGCGCATTGTGCGCTCTGCAGAGGAAGTGATCGGCCGCAGCCTTCCATCGCTGCAGGACCTGTACGTCGCCCGAGCTCGAGGCCGGGCTGGTCGTATCACAGCCGACCCCTCTCACCTGCACATGGACTATTCCAACCACTCCCCTCTCACCTGCACATGGACTATTCCAACCACTCCCCTCTCACCTGCACATGGACTATTCCAACCACTCCCCTCTCACCTGCACATGGACTATTCCAACCACTCCCCTCTCACCTGCACATGGACTATTCCAACCACTCCCCTCAGGCAGGAGGCTGCGGTCCATCAGGACTAGAACCTCCCGCCACAAGAACAGTTTCTTCCCCTCTGCTGTTGGACTCTTGAACACTTCTTAACCTGTCCTGCCCTTTTTAAAGTCACTTTACTGCCCATCATACGTCACTTTACTTCACTGTACTGCTGTCACCTTACATTGTGTGCACCATGTGCACTTGTATGCTGTAAATAGTAACTGTAACTCTATTTTAAATTTTAATGTATTCTTTAGAAGTGTTTTTTATTCTTATATTTATTATCTCTTTTTGACTGTTGCACTGAGCCAAAGCAATTTCCAAGTCTGTGACTTCTGTTACTTACGTGGCAATAAAAATGATTCTGATTCTGTCTATATTTTTGGATCAGTCCTGAGCTGTAATGAGATGTAATGTCCACCAGGGGGAGCACCAACACTGTGTCTGTGTAACCCAGGGTTGGAAATAAACATATTTCCTAGTTTTCCCTTGTTTTAAAGTTAGTTTAAGTTTGTTAAGTTTAAGCAGATATATTTTTCTAAAATATACAAACCATAGACTGTATAGGTACGTGTGGTGGGGCCGCTGTGTGAGGATCCCAGAGACAGAAGACAGAGACGATTGTCCTGGAGAGGTCTGGTCTCTGGTCCTGGGACTTCTGTGGTCTCTGGGACTGGGACTGCTGTGGTCTCTGGGACTGGGACTTCTGTGGTCTCTGGGACTGGGACTGCTGTGGTCTCTGGTCCTGGGACTTCTGTGGTCTCTGGTCCTGGGACTTCTGTGGTCTCTGGTCCTGGGACTTCTGTGGTCTCTGGTCCTGGGACTTCTGTGGTCTCTGGTCCTGGGACTTCTGTGGTCTCTGGTCCTGGGACTTCTGTGGTCTCTGGTCCTGGGACTTCTGTGGTCTCTGGTCCTGGGACTTCTGTGGTCTCTGGTCCTGGGACTTCTGTGGCTCTGGTCCTGGGACTTCTGTGGTCTCTGGTCCTGGGACTTCTGTGGTCTCTGGTCCTGGGACTTCTGCGGTCTCTGGTCCTGGGACTTCTGCGGTCTCTGGTCCTGGGACTTCTGCGGTCTCTGGTCCTGGGACTTCTGCGGTCTCTGGTCCTGGGACTTCTGCGGTCTCTGGTCCTGGGACTTCGACGGTCTCTGGTCCTGGGACTTCGACGGTCTCTGGTCCTGGGACTTCGGCGGTCTCTGGTCCTGGGACATCTGCAGTCTCTGGTCCTGGGATTTCTGCGATCTCTGGTCCTGGGACTTCTGTGGTCTCTGCTCGTGTCTCTGGTCTCTCTCCCAGGACAGATCCAGTCTCTCTTCTTTGGCTCAGGACTGGTCTGGTCTTTGGTCTCTCTCTCAAGACTGGTCTGGTCTTTGGTCTCTCTCTCACGACTGGTCGGCTCTCTGGTTTCTTTCTCAGGACTGGTGTGGTCTTTGGTCTCTCTCTCAGGACTGGTCTGGTCTCTGGTCTCTCTTTCAGGACTGCTCTGCTCTCTGGTCTCTCTCTCAGGACTGGTCTGGTCTCTCGTCTCTCTCTCAGGACTGGTCTGGTCTCTGGTCTCTCTTTCAGGACTGCTCTGCTCTCTGGTCTCTCTCTCAGGACTGGTCTGGTCTCTGGTCTCTCTCTGAGGACTGGTCTGGTCTCTGGTCTCTCTCTCAGGACTGGTCTCTCTCTGAGGACTGGTCTGGTTTCTGGTCTCTCTCTCAGGACTGGTCTGGTCTCTGGTCTCTCTCTCAGGACTGGTCTCTCTCTCAGGACTGGTCTGGTCTCTGGTCTCTCTCTCAGGACTGGTCTGGTCTCTGGTCTCTCTCTCAGGACTGGTCTGGTCTCTGGTCTCTCTCTCAGGACTTTTATTTTGTGCTTTGACTCCTGTTTGTCCTTGGGTGGTTTAACTAAACACAAAGAGAGAACAAGCAAAACCATTATTCCCATCGACTTGAGGCAGAAGTCCTCCCTCACCAGTCCTGTGCTCTGCTCTCTTGCTCTCTCTCTAGTCTCTCTCTGCTCTCTCCTCCTCTGTCTCTCTGGTCCCTCTTTTCTCTCTCCTCTCTCTCTCCTCCTCTCTCTCTCTGGTCTCTCCTACTCTCTCTCTCTGGTCTCTCTCTGCTCTCTCCTCTCTCTCTCTGCTCTCTCCTCCTCTCTCTCTGCTCTCTCCTCCTCTGTCTCTCTGGTCTCTCTCCTCTCTCTCTGGTCTCTCTCTCCTCTCTCTCTGGTCTCTCCTCCTCTCTCTATGGCCTCTCTCTGGTCTCTCCTCCTCTCTCTCTGGTCTCTCTCTGGTCTCTCTCTGGTCTCTCCTCCTCTCTCTATGGCCTCTCTCTGGTCTCTCCTCCTCTCTCTCTGGTCTCTCCTCCTCTCTCTCTGGTCTCTCTCTGGTCTTTCCTCAGTCTGTAACATGTGACTCCTTACACAGTGTGGACTTCCTGGAGCTCCTCTTCTGGCGCCTCCACAGGACCTGTGGGTCCAGTCTGTGGTCTCTGCTCAGACCAAAGGCGGTCCGTCCGCTGTGGTCCATGAGTGAAGGGTCTGCACCGTGACGAAGGAGGACCTCTGCAGTCTGTGGATCCACACAAGAGAAAGAGGAACAGGCTGAACTGAACCAGGCCAGATTTATCAATTCAGGCAGAAGTCCTGTTCTCAGGTTTCTCTTTCGTTTCTTTGTAGTCTTTGCTCTCTCTCTCTGCTTTCTATGGTCTCTCTCTGCTCTCTCCCTGCTCTCTCTCTCCTCTCTCCCTGCTCTCTCTCTCCTCTCTCCCTGCTCTCTCTCCTCTCTCCCTGCTCTCTCTCTCCTCTCTCCCTGCTCTCTCTCTCCTCTCTCCCTGCTCTCTCTCTCCTCTCTCCCTGCTCTCTCTCCTCTCTCCCTGCTCTCTCTCTCCCTGCTCTCTCTCTCCTCTCTCCCTGCTTTCTCTCTCCTCTCTCCCTGCTCTCTCTCTCCTCTCTCCCTGCTTTCTCTCTCCCTGCTCTCTCTCTCCTCTCTCCCTGCTTTCTCTCTCCTCTCTCCCTGCTTTCTCTCTCCTCTCTCCCTGCTTTCTCTCTCCTCTCTCCCTGCCCTCTTTCTCCTTTCTCTGGTCTCTCTCCTCTCTCCCTGCTCTCTCTCGCTTCTAACTCTGGTCTCTCTCCTCTCTCCCTGCTCTCTCTCTCCTCTCTCCCTGCTCTCTCTCTCCTCTCTCCCTGCTCTCTCTCTCCTCTCTCCCTGCTTTCTCTCTCCTCACTCCCTGCTCTCTCTCGCTTCTAACTCTGGCCTCTCTCCTCTCTCCCTGCTCTCTCTCTCCTCTCTCCCTGCTCTCTCTCTCCTCTCTCCCTGCTTTCTCTCTCCTCTCTCCCTGCTCTCTCTGGTCTCTCTCCATCAGGCTGAGTCAGGGCTGCACAGGGACAGCTCTAGCTTTACTAAATTGAAGCCACCATCAAAAACACAATGTGACTTTAGTTTAAGCTGTTTCTGTAATCATTAAAAAAAGATTTCAAACTTCATATTAGAAATCTATGTCTCTAGTTCCTCTAAAACAGTTTTCTTTTACCACTGCTTTTCACATGAATGTATTTTTCTCACATCTTTAGATCAACTTTTTCAAACAGAAAAGTGAAATCACCCAAAGAGCTCTAACCAGTGAGTGTGTGAGTGTGTGGAGGAGGCACCTGCAGATGTGAGTTCTGAAGGGCGTGATGCAGAGGAGTGAGTGTGTGAGTGTGTGGAGGAGGCACCTGCAGATGTGAGTTCTGAAGGGCGTGATGCAGAGGAGTGAGTGTGTGGAGGGGGCACCTGCAGATGTGAGTTCTGAAGGGCGTGATGCAGAGGAGTGAGTGTGTGGAGGGGGCACCTGCAGATGTGAGTTCTGAAGGGCGTGATGCAGAGGAGTGAGTGTGTGGAGGGCACCTGCAGATGTGAGTTCTGAAGGGCGTGATGCAGAGGAGTGAGTGTGTGGAGGAGGCACCTGCAGATGTGAGTTCTGAAGGGCGTGATGCAGAGGAGTGAGTGTGTGGAGGGGGCACCTGCAGATGTGAGTTCTGAAGGGCGTGATGCAGAGGAGTGAGTGTGTGGAGGGGGCACCTGCAGATGTGAGTTCTGAAGGGCGTGATGCAGAGGAGTGAGTGTGTGGAGGAGGCACCTGCAGATGTGAGTTCTGAAGGGCGTGATGCAGAGGAGTGAGTGTGTGGAGGGGCACCTGCAGATGTGAGTTCTGAAGGGCGTGATGCAGAGGAGTGAGTGTGTGGAGGAGGGACCTGCAGATGTGAGTTCTGAAGGGCGTGATGCAGAGGAGTGAGTGTGTGGAGGAGGCACCTGCAGATGTGAGTTCTGAAGGGCGTGATGCAGAGGAGTGAGTGTGTGGAGGGGCACCTGCAGATGTGAGTTCTGAAGGGCGTGATGCAGAGGAGTGAGTGTGTGGAGGAGGCACCTGCAGATGTGAGTTCTGAAGGGCGTGATGCAGAGGAGTGAGTGTGTGGAGGGGCACCTGCAGATGTGAGTTCTGAAGGGCGTGATGCAGAGGAGTGAGTGTGTGGAGGGGCACCTGCAGATGTGAGTTCTGAAGGGCGTGATGCAGAGGAGTGAGTGTGTGGAGGGGCACCTGCAGATGTGAGTTCTGAAGGGCGTGATGCAGAGGAGTGAGTGTGTGGAGGGGGCACCTGCAGATGTGAGTTCTGAAGGGCGTGATGCAGAGGAGTGAGTGTGTGGAGGGGGCACCTGCAGATGTGAGTTCTGAAGGGCGTGATGCAGAGGAGTGAGTGTGTGGAGGGGGCACCTGCAGATGTGAGTTCTGAAGGGCGTGATGCAGAGGAGTGAGTGTGTGGAGGGGGCACCTGCAGATGTGAGTTCTGAAGGGCGTGATGCAGAGGAGTGAGTGTGTGGAGGAGGCACCTGCAGATGTGAGTTCTGAAGGGCGTGATGCAGAGGAGTGAGTGTGTGGAGGAGGCACCTGCAGATGTGAGTTCTGAAGGGCGTGATGCAGAGGAGTGAGTGTGTGAGTGTGTGGAGGAGGAACCTGCAGATGTGAGTTCTGAAGAGCGTGATGCAGAGGAGTGAGTCCACCTGGTCCACACACATTGACCACAGCTCCAGCCTGAAGCAGCAGCACACAGGCCTCAGGGAGACCTCTGAGGGCAGCCTCATGGAGGGCTGTGTGTCCTGGAGGAGAGAGAAGAGAGAGGAGGAGAGGGGGGGAGGAGAGGAGGGGAGGAGAGAGAAGGAGATGGGAGGAGAGGGGGGGAGGAGAGGAGGGGAGGAGAGAGAAGGAGAGGGGAGGAGGAGAGGGGGAGATAGGAGAGGAGGGGAGATAGCAGAGTAAAGAGGGGCCGAGGCGGAGAGAGGAGGAGGGGAGGAGAGAGAAGAGGAGGAGGGGAGGGGGGGAGAGAGGAGGGAGAGAGGAGGAGAGAAGAGGAGAGGAGGGGAAGAGAGACAAGGAAGAGAGAGGAGGAGAAGGGAGGAGGGGAGAGTGAGGAGAGGAGAAGGGAGGAAGGGAGGGGAGGAAAGAGGAGAGGGAAGAGGAGAGAGCAGAGTAAAGAAGAGAAGAGGAGAGGAGGAGAGTGAGGTCTAGAGGAGTTCTCGTTCTACAACTTCAGTTCTCTCTCTGGTCTCTCTCTAGTCTCTCTCTGGTCTCTCTCTGGTCACTCTCTCTGGTCTCTCTCTGGTCACTCTCTCTGGTCTCTCCTTGGTCACTCTCTCTGGTCACTCTCTCTGGTCACTCTCTCTGGTCTCTCTCTGGTCACTCTTTCTGGTCTCTCTCTCTGGTCTCTCTCTGGTCTCTCTCTGGTCTCTCTCTGGTCTCTCTCTGGTCTCTCTCTGGTCTCTCTCTGGTCTTTCTCACGGTTCTCTCACCTGTGTAGTCCACCTGGTTAACGTTGGTCTTCAGCTGCAGAATCACACGGAGCTTGTCCAGATCTCCTTGTATCACGCTCTGGTGCATCATGTTCTCACCAAAGAGGTTTCTCTTCCTCACAGTGTGTTTAAAGAGAAACCTCCCCCTGTGTCGCACTGCCCACATACGCCCCACCTTCACCAGCCCTGCAGAGAAGCACACTGAGAAACACTATCTCTGGTCTGTCTCTGGTCTTTTTTTTCTCTCACCTGAGTCTGGATCCAAACATGTCCTTTTACACACTTTCTTTCTGCAAAAGAGTAGAGTAGAGTAGAGTAGTGTAGAGTAGAGTAGGATAAAGTAGAGAAGAGTAGAGTAGAGTAGAGTAGAGGAGCAGAGCAGAGAAGAGTAGAGTAGTGTAAGGCAAGAGGTGTTGAAGAGAGGAGAGGAGGGGGGAGGACAGAGGATAGGGAGAGACATACAGGAGATACAGGGGATGAGAGAGGAGAGGGTGGAGGGGGGAGACAGAGGAGAGGGAGGAGGCAGACAGGAGAGACCGGGGAAGAGAGAAGGAGAGAGGGAGGGGGAGAGCAGAGGAGAGGAAGGAGAGAGGGGAAAGAGGAGAGAGGGGGGCGAGAGAGAGGAGAGAGAAGGGAGGAGAGATGATGAGGGTAGGGGGTGAGACAGACGAGAGGGAGGGAGAGAGAGAGCGTAGAGGGAGGCGGGTGTGCGAGAGGCGAGAGGGGAGAGAGAGGAGAGGGAGGGGGGAGAAGAGGAGCGGGAGGAGAGAGAGCAGAGGAGGAGGGATGCACAAGCAGTGGCGTTGTCCACAGATGACACTTTCCTTCTAGTATCAGACCTGTCCCACTCCTCACCTCGGCACAGGAGCTGCCCTGGTCTACCCTCCCTCCCCTCCCTCCCCTCCTCCCACACACCACTTACGCTGAGGCGGCTGGGCATCATACGGCATCATCATTTTAGGCAATCCCGCGGCGGCCTCTCAGTGGTCGACATGCCGTCTCAGAACGAGCCCTAAAACGAGGCTCAGCTTTAATTCAAATTCAGCCGATTTTTAATGTTTGGAAAAAGGATTTTTATTCAATAGTTTAAGGAGAGTGAGTGAAGCAGACGATGCGATGGCCGATGAAGAAGCAACACTCAAACAAAACGACGTTTGGACGTTCATTTAAGGACTCACATTAGCCTCCTGCAGCTGGGGTGAACACCACACAGCCAGCAAAGCAATGTGGGCCCCACATGGGTTTGCCACATGGGCAATAAGTGGGGTGGGTCCGCGGGTTTCCATGAGTACGGGTGGGTCCCCATATTGGTTTTTGCCATGTGGGTACTAAAAAGTGGGTTTGAATGGGCTTATGTGGGCCCAAAGTGGGGGTTTAAAACCATTAGGCCCACTTGGGCCCATATGCCCACATGGGGTAACAAGTGGGTTAGTCTGCAGTGTCTATGAGGGCCCCATATGGTTTTGGCCCATGTGGGCTAAAAGTGGTTTTTATGGGTGCCATGTGGGCCCACCCAAAGTGGGTGTTAAAAACCTTAAGGCCCTCTTGGGACCCCATATGCCCACATGGGAAACAGGTGGGTTTGTCCGCAGTTTCCATGAGGAGCCCATATGGGTTTTTGCATGTGGGCTAAAAAGTGGTTTGAATTGGTGTTCCATGGGTGGCCCAAACTGGGTTAAAAACCATAAGGCCCACTTGGGCCCCATAGCCCACATGGGTATCAAGTGGGTTTGTCCGCGGTTTCATGAGGGCCCATATGGTTTTGCCCATGATGGGCCTAATACGTGGTATTGAATGGGTTCCATGTGGGCCCAAAGTGTGGTTAAAACCTTTTAAGAAAAAAGAAAAAAAAAAAAAAAAAAAAAAAAAAAAAAAAAAAAAAAAAAAAAATAAAAAAAAAAATAAAAAAAAATAAAAAAAAAAAAAAAAAATCTCATAAAAAAAAAAAAAAAAAAAAATAAAAAAAAAAAAAAAAAAAAAAATTAATAAAAAAAGAAAAAAAACAAGGCCCACTTGGGCCCATTTGCCCACATGGGGTAACATGGGTATGTCAGCAGTTTCTATGGATGGGCCCCATATGGTTTTTGCCCATGTGGGCAAAAGTGGTGTTTTGAATGGGGTTCCATGTGGGACCCATAAAGTGGGTTAAAACCATAAGGCCACTTGGGCCCCATATGCCCACCTGGGTAGTAACCAGGTGGTTTGTCCGCAGTTTCCATGAGGGCCCCATATGGTTTTGGCCCATGTGGGCTAAAAGAGGGTTTTGAATGGGGTCCATGTGGGACAAAGTGGGGTTTAAACCATAAGGCCCTCACTTGGGCCCCATATTGCCCACATGGTTAACAAATGGGTTTGTCGCGGTTTACTGAGGGGCCCCATTTGTTTAAGCCCATGAGGGCTAAAAGTGGGGGTTTGAATGGGTTCCATGTGGGTCCAAAGTGGGTTAAAACCATAATGCCCACTTGGGCCCATATGCCCACATGGTTTTGTCCGCGTTTCCTGTGGGCGCCATTTGGTTTTAAGCCCATGTGGGCCTAAAAGTGGGGTTTGAATGGGTTCCTGTGGGTCCAAAGTGGGTTAAAAACATTATGGCCACATGGGCCCCATTATGCCTACAGGGGTACATGCACTACAATTATCAGTAGGTTTAATTTCAGGGACATTAATGATGAACGATATACAATGTGGGCCCTATCAGACCAGACGTAGGTGGTTCAAAACACAGGTCCTGAAGTGTTTTTGATGAGAACATTGTAACAAACTTTAAAAATAGTTTCTAATTCCACAGGATTTTGCAGGTATTGTTTGTGAATGTTGGGGGCTAAAAACATTTTTCCAAAAGATGGAATGGTTCACTTAAACATATAGTTTACGATGAAGACACATTTCTTTGTATTCTACTGAAATTATAACCAAAGAGGCCCAAGGGTAATAAGAAATTAATTTTATTTGGGCTGGGTCGAAATATATGATCGATTGGGATCGGTACTTTTTGCTGCAATACCCAACTTTCAGTATTGCAATACATGTTGTTTGTCTTCTAGAATAACAGTTACACAGCACCTTGTCATATTGTGGTCAATGCACCTTTTCGTCTTAGACTTTCACATGAATGTCATTATGTCATTTCGGATCGCCCCCGATGTATATGATACGTATCGAATCCTGACAAAAAGTGTATCGTACCAGGCCAACTGAGGTGAGTTATGATGACAAAATCGTTTTTAAAAATCCTGGAGGGACTAAACAAAAGGCCAGCGAAAAAACAATTGCCTCAATCCTTAGTTACAATAAAACTGCTTTAAATATAACAAGTCAATTTATACCTTTTAATCATCAGACCAAGGTTTTCTGACGTTGGCTTGTTCATTGCTGTAGGAGAGTTGATGTGTAAAAAATTATAAGCCTTGTGAGAGACGTCCTCTATGCTTGTGGTGAAGAGTTCATACTTTGTAGGCTAGGATTGGCGGCTGCATTCACTGATGACCCAGAGGTGACTGGTCACCTCACAGATTCTTCGTATCCTGCTGCAAAACAATGGCCCTCATTCCGGAAATAACTTCGTAAGAAATACTCAACTTTTTCTCAAGTTTGTCCTTAATTAGATTTCTAAGAGAGTCCCACGTGGGATTCATCAAGCGCTCGTAATTAAGCGCTGAATTGTTCGCAGCTGTTCTCTCAGATTTGATGGAATTCCACTTACTCGTAAGTACAGCGCGCGTGCAGGTGCTTTTCTAGCATAGGTACTTAGATAAGTAACCGCCACTCATGCCCATTTAGGGCCTGCCAGGGCCGTGTGCAGACGGGCAGAGGAAACAGCACCAGGCCTGTTTACCACGGGAGCAAAAGTCACCTTTTTCTTCTTTTACCAGACTGAGAATAAAGATACAAAATGTTGACTTAAAAGTCGAAAGATAGTATGATAATAAAGTCGAACTAGCAAAAATTATGAGATTAATCTTAGAATATGCTGAGGATTAATCTCAAAATGTTTTGAGCTTAATTTATAAAATTATATTATGTGTATTATTTTCAAGATGAATTCTCAAAATGTTTTGAGATGAATATCAAAATATTTTGGACCATGGGAGGAGGATCCCAGCGCGGACAGCGCTGAGACCAATGACAGACCCCGGAGGAGAGAATTGGAATGACCAGCACACAGAAACCAGCGCGGAACTATAGGTGGAGCCGCAGTAGACGGAGTGACCTGACTGGAGCGACGCATAGACTGTAGTGACCTGACTGGAGCGGGCCCAGGTGCGCAGAGCCAGCGCGGACCGAAGTAGAGACCGCATAGATCCAGACTTGGAGAGACCAGCGGGATCCGTATGGAGAGGACCAGTGGAGACCAGATATAGATCCATGGGAGAGACATGTGCAGACCAGTAATTGGAGAGACCAGTGCAGACCGTATAGGGAGACACCAGCGCTGCCCTGACCCGTATAGATCCATTGGGAGAGACCAGCGAGTCCCGTATTAGATCCATGGGATGAGACAGCGCAGACGCCGTATTAGACTCCATGGGAGCGACCAGCGCCAGGACCCGTACTATGGGAGACAACCAGGCAGACCCGTATAGATCCATGGGAGAGACCAGCGCAGACCCGTATAGTTCCATGGGAAGAGACCAGGCAGACCCGTATAGATCCATGGGCGAGACCAGCGCAGGACCGTATGATCATGGGGACGAGAGACCAGCGCGAGACTCGCGCGGACCCTAGTAACCTCCTGCAGGCAGCAGTATATTTGCCGTTGTTATGTGGCCCGTGGGTAAAGATTGCCCCTATAAATGGGAAGGGGTACTATAAAGGCCCATTCAAGGCAAGATTTCAATGTATTTGATAAAGCGTTGGCACTTTTCATTTCAATATGAATTAAAAAGGTAGGCCAGATTGCAGTGAAAAAAGGCGGTTGGTATATAATAAAGCATTATAATAAAGATTTACTACAAATAAATAACTACTATACCAGAGAGAGACCAGAGAGAGACCAGAGAGAGAGACCAGAGAGAGACCAGAGAGAGACCAGAGAGAGAGACCAGAGAGAGACCAGAGAGAGACCAGAGAGAGACCAGAGAGCAGACCAGAGAGAGACCATAGAGAGAGAGACCAGAGAGAGACCAGAGAGAGACCAGAGAGAGACCAGAGAGAGACCAGAGAGAGACCAGAGAGAGACCAGCAGAGAGAGACCAGAGAGAGACCAGAGAGAGAGACCAGAGAGAGACCAGAGAGAGACCAGAGAGAGACCAGAGAGAGACCAGAGAGAGACCAGAGAGAGAGACCAGAGAGAGAGACCAGAGAGAGACCAGAGAGAGACCAGAGAGAGAGACCAGAGAGAGACCAAGAGAGAGACCAGAGAGAGACCAGAGAGAGAGAGAGACCAGAGAGAGACCAGAGAGAGAGACCAGAGAGAGACCAGAGAGAGACCAGAGAGAGAGACCAGAGAGAGACCAGAGAGAGAGACCAGAGAGAGACCAGAGAGAGACCAGAGAGAGACCAGAGAGAGAGACCAGAGAGAGAGACCAGAGAGAGAGACCAGAGAGAGAGACCAGAGAGAGACCAGAGAGAGACCAGAGAGAGAGACCAGAGAGAGACCAGAGAGAGACCAGAGAGAGAGACCAGAGAGAGACCAGAGAGAGAGACCAGAGAGAGACCAGAGAGAGACCAGAGAGAGAGACCAGAGAGAGAGAGAGAGAGAGACCAGAGAGAGACCAGAGAGAGACCATAGAGAGAGACCAGAGAGAGAGACCAGAGAGAGACCAGAGAGAGACCAAGAAGAGAGAGACCAGAGAGAGAGAGACCAGAAAGAGAGACCAGAGAGAGAGAGAACAAAGAGAGACTCGAGAGAGAGACCAGAGAGAGACTAGAGAGAGAGAACAAAGAGAGACTCGAGAGAGAGACCAGAGAGAGACCAGAGAGAGAGGCCAGAGAGACCAGAGAGACCAGAGAGAGAGACCAGAGAGAGAGACCAGAGAGACTAACCCCATAAACATATTTAAATACACTCATAAAATACAAGAAATACTTTGTTTCAACAGTTATTGTAAAGAGACGGAAAAAATGCATAATTATTCTTCTTTAAATATGTACGGTACAGTAGAGTAGGGTAGAGTAGTGTAGGGTACAGTAGGGTAGGGTACGGTAGAGTAGAGTAGGGTAGGGTAGGGTAGGGTACAGTAGAGTAGGGTAGAGTAGTGTAGGGTACAGTAGGGTAGGGTAGAGTAGAGTCCAAAATGAGGATGTTGCAGAGATTCACAACGTTCAACAGATAAACATCTTTGAGCTCTCTCCCTCTGGTCTCCTCCTCACCCCTGTCTCCCTCTGGTCTCCTCCTCACCCCCGTCTCCCTCTGGTGTCCTCCTCATCTCTGTCTCCCTCTGGTCTCCTCCTCATCCCTGTCTCCCTGGTCTCCTCCTCATCCCTCTCTGGTCTCCTCCTCATCCCTCTCTCCCTCTGGTCTCCTCCTCATCCCTCTCTCCCTCTGGTCTCCTCATCTCTGTCTCCCTCTGGTCTCCTCCTCATCTCTGTCTCCCTCTGGTCTCCTCCTCATCCCTCTCTCCCTCTGGTCTCCTCATCCCTGTCTCCCTCTGGTCTCCTCCTCATCCCTCTCTCCCTCTGGTCTCCTCCTCATCCCTCTCTCCCTCTGGTCTCTCCTCATCTCTGTCTCCCTCTGGTCTCCTCCTCATCCCTGTCTCCCTCTGGTCTCCTCCTCATCCCTCTCTCCCTCTGGTCTCCTCCTCATCTCTCTGTCTCTCTCTCTCTGGTCTCTCTCTCTGGTCTCTCTCTGGTCTCTCTCTCTGGTCTCTCTCTCTGGTCTCTCTCTCTGGTCTCTCTCTGGTCTCTCTCTCTGGTCTCTCTCTGGTCTCTCTCTGGTCTCTCTCTGGTCTCTCTCTCTGGTCTCTCTCTCTGGTCTCTCTCTGGTCTCTCTCTGGTCTCTCTCTGGTCTCTCTCTGGTCTCTCTCTGGTCTCTCTCTGGTCTCTCTCTGGTCTCTCTCTCTGGTCTCTCTCTGGTCTCTCTCTGGTCTCTCTCTGGTCTCTCTCTCTGGTCTCTCTCTGGTCTCTCTCTCTGGTCTCTCACTCTGGTCTCTCTCTGGTCTCTCTCTCTGGTCTCTCTCTCTGGTCTCTCTCTCTGGTCTCTCTCTGGTCTCTCTCTGGTCTCTCTCTGGTCTCTCTCTGGTCTCTCTCTCTCTGGTCTCTCTCTCTGGTCTCTCTCTGGTCTCTCTCTCTGGTCTCTCTCTGGTCTCTCTCTGGTCCTCTCTCTGGTCTCTCTCTGGTCTCTCTCTCTGTCTCTCTCTCTGTCTCTCTCTGGTCTCTCTCTCTGGTCTCTCTCTGGTCTCTCTCTCTGGTCTCTCTCTGGTCTCTCTCTGGTCTCCTCTCTCTCTGGTCTCTCTCTGGTCTCTCTCTCTGGTCTCTCTCTGGTCTCTCTCTCTGGTCTCTCTCTGGTCTCTCTCTCTGTCTCTCTCTCTGGTCTCTCTCTGGTCTCTCTCTCTCTGGTCTCTCTCTCTGGTCTCTCTCTGGTCTCTCTCTGGTCTCTCTCTGGTCTCTCTCTGGTCTCTCTCTGGTCTCTCTCTGGTCTCTCTCTGGTCTCTCTCTGGCTCTCTCTCTGGTCTCTCTCTGGTCTCTCTCTGGTCTCTCTCTGGTCTCTCTCTGGTCTCTCTCTCTGGTCTCTCTCTCTCTCTCTCTCTGGTCTCTCTCTCTGGTCTCTCTCTCTGGTCTCTCTCTGGTCTCTCTCTCTGGTCTCTCTCTGGTCTCTCTCTGGTCTCTCTCTCTGGTCTCTCTCTGGTCTCTCTCTGGTCTCTCTCTGTCTCTCTCTCTGGTCTCTCTCTGGTCTCTCTCTGGTCTCTCTCTCTGGTCTCTCTCTCTGGTCTCTCTCTGGTCTCTCTCTGGTCTCTCTCTGGTCTCTCTCTCTGGTCTCTCTCTGGTCTCTCTCTGGTCTCTCTCTCTGGTCTCTCTCTCTGGTCTCTCTCTGGTCTCTCTCTCTGGTCTCTCTCTGGTCTCTCTCTCTGGTCTCTCTCTGGTCTCTCTCTCTGGTCTCTCTCTCTGGTCCTCTCTCTCTGGTCTCTCTCTGGTCTCTCTCTCTGGTCTCTCTCTCTGGTCTCTCTCTGGTCTCTCTCTGGTCTCTCTCTCTGGTCTCTCTCTGGTCTCTCTCTGGTCTCTCTCTGGTCTCTCTCTCTGGTCTCTCTCTGGTCTCTCTCTGGTCTCTCTCTGGTCTCTCTCTGGTCTCTCTCTCTGGTCTCTCTCTCTGGTCTCTCTGCTCTCTCTCTGGTCTCTCTCTGGTCTCTCTCTGGTCTCTCTCTGGTCTCTCTCTCTCTCTCTCTCTGGTCTCTCTCTCTGGTCTCTCTCTCTCTCTCTCTCTGGTCTCTCTCTCTGCTCTCTCTCTGGTCTCTCTCTGGTCTCTCTCTGGTCTCTCCTCTGGTCTCTCTCTGGTCTCTCTCTCTGGTCTCTCTCTGGTCTCTCTCTCTGGTCTCTCTCTCTGGTCTCTCTCTCTGGTCTCTCTCTCTGGTCTCTCTCTGGTCTCTCTCTCTGGTCTCTCTCTCTGGTCTCTCTCTCTGGTCTCTCTCTGGTCTCTCTCTGGTCTCTCTCTCTGGTCTCTCTCTCTGGTCTCTCTCTGGTCTCTCTCTGGTCTCTCTCTGGTCTCTCTCTCTGGTCTCTCTCTGGTCTCTCTCTCTGGTCTCTCTCTGGTCTCTCTCTCTGTCTCTCTCTGGTCTCTCTCTGGTCTCTCTCTCTGGTCTCTTCTCTCTGGTCTCTCTCTGGTCTCTCTCTCTGTCTCTCTCTGGTCTCTCTCTGGTCTCTCTCTCTGGTCTCTCTCTCTGGTCTCTCTCTGCTCTCTCTCTCTGGTCTCTCTCTCTGGTCTCTCTCTCTGGTCTCTCTCTGGTCTCTCTCTCTGGCTCTCTCTCTCTCTGGTCTCTCTCTGGTCTCTCTCTCTCTGGTCTCTCTCTGGTCTCTCTCTCTGGTCTCTCTCTGGTCTCTCTCTGGTCTCTCTCTGGTCTCTCTCTGGTCTCTCTCTCTGGTCTCTCTCTCTGGTCTCTCTCTGGTCTCTCTCTCTGGTCTCTCTCTCTGGTCTCTCTCTGGTCTCTCTCTGGTCTCTCTCTCTGGTCTCTCTCTGGTCTCTCTCTGGTTCTCTCTCTCTGGTCTCTCTCTGGTCTCTCCTCTCTGGTCTCTCTCTCTGGTCTCTCTCTCTCTCTGGTCTCTCTCTGGTCTCCTCTCTGGTCTCTCTCTCTGGTCTCTCTCTGGTCTCTCTCTGGTCTCTCTCTCTCTCTCTCTCTGGTCTCTCCTCTCTCTTGGTCTCTCTCTGGTCCTCTCTCTCTCTGGTCTCTCTCTCTCTGGTCTCTCTCTCTCTCTCTCTCTCTCTCTCTCTCTCTCTCTCTCTCTCTGGTCTCTCTCTGGTCTCTCTCTGGTCTCTCTCTCTGTCATCTTCTCTCTGGTCTCTCTCTGCAGTCTCTCTCTGGAGCCAGAACACAGGAAAGAACATCTCTGGAACTCTCCTTCTGGTCTCTCTCTCTGGTCCCCTCTCTCTGGTCTCTCTCTGGTCTCTCTCTCTGGTCTCTCTCTGGTCTCTCTCTGGTCTCTCTCTGGTCTCTCTCTCTGGTCTCTCTCTCTGGTCTCTCTCTGGTCTCTCTCTGGTCTCTCTCTGGTCTCTCTCTGGTCTCTCTCTCTGGTCTTCTCTCTGGTCTCTCTCTGGTCTCTCTCTGGTCTCTCTCTGGTCTCTCTCTGGTCTCTCTTTGGTCTCTCTCTGGTCTCTCTCTGGTCTCTCTCCGGTCTCTCTCCGGTCTCTCTCTGGTCTCTCTCCGGTCTCTCTCTGGTCTCTCTCTGGTCTCTCTCCGGTCTCTCTCCGGTCCCTCTCTCTGGTCTATTTCTGGTCTCTCTCTGGTCAATCTCTAGTCTCTCTCTGGACAAAGTCCCACAATTGTAAAGTTGTAAATAAATAAATAAACATTATTTACACAAATCTAAAACAGATGTAATTATTTATTTAAATATATTTATTTATTTTTAATTAATTTCAGAACCATGAAGATTTCCGTCGGGCGACAGTAGCTCAGTTGGTAGAGCATTGGCCTTAAGCCCAGAAGGTCGTGGGTTCAATTCCCACCTCTACACCTTCTCCACCGACTCCCACTGATGACTGCTGTCGTTGTGTCCTTGGGCAAGACACTTAACCCCACTTTGCCCAAAGCCCCCACTGAAAGATCAAGGCTATGCTCACACTCAGAGAGCAGCCGTCCTCCTGTGGACTCACCACCTGCAGAGGGTCAGTGAGGGGCTGGTGCTATGAGACTTGGGTGGCAGCTCTGACTGCCACCCCCCTGACCCAGAAATGGATTAAAGGGTAGAAAATGGATGGATGGATGGAAGATTTCCAGAGTTTTCTTTCAGATTATTTTGTTTTGAGAAAATTATTGTTAATAACATGTAGTGTCTTATCTGAGTGTGCCTCTGATGGTGTCCGTGATGGTGCCTGATGGTGTCTGATGGTGTCTCTGATGGTGTCTGTGATGGTGTCTGCGCTGATTGTGTCTATGATGGTGTCTGTGTCTGTGATGGTGTCTGTGCTGATGGTGTCTGTGCTGATGGTGTCTGTGCTGATGGTGTCTATGATGGTGTCTGTGATGGTGTCCATGCTGATGGTGTCTCTGATGGTGTCTGTGTCTCTGATGGTGTCTGATGGTGTCTGTGTCTGTGATGGTGTCTGTGCTGATGGTGTCTGTGATGGTGTCTGTGATGGTGTCCATGCTGATGGTGTCTGTGTCTCTGATGGTGTCTGTGCTGATGGTGTCTATGATGTGTCTGTGATGGTGTCTGTGCTGATGGTGTCTGACGGTGTCTGTGCTAGTGTCTCTGCTAGTGTCTCTGATGGTGCCTGTGATGGTGCCTGTGATGGTGTCTGTGTTGGTGTCTGTGATGGTGTCCGTGTTGATGGTGTCTGTGATGGTGTCTGTGCTAGTGTCTCTGCTGGTGTCTCTGCTTGTGTCTCTGATGGTGTCTGTGCTAGTGTCTCTGATGGTGTCTGTGCTAGTGTCCGTGTTGATGGTGTCTGTGTCTGTGATGGTGTCTGTGCTAGTGTCTCTGATGGTGTTTGTAAAGGTGTCTGGGATGGTGTCTCTGGTGTCTGTGATGGTGTCTGTGCTAGTGTCTCTGCTGGTGTCTCTGCTGGTGTCTTTGCTAGTGTCTCTGCTGGTGTCTTTGCTAGTGTCTCTGCTGGTGTCTTTGCTAGTGTCTCTGCTGGTGTCTCTGCTGGTGCGCTCGCTCTGATAGTTTCTCCTCTAAACACTGGATGAGGACGTAGTCGATGGTAGGGTCCACCTTGTTGGCGAACCAGTGCCCGTAGGTGAGGAGCCAGCGCAGCTCGGCCGCACCATAAATGCAGACGCTGCGCTGGTGCGCACCAGTACAGGCGGGGTAGAGCCGCTGCTCCAGATAGTTCCACTTCACCAGCCGCGTTTTACTGCTGAGGTCTGACACATCTGGTGCAGAGAGAGGGATGTGTCCTGGTGCACCAGGGAGGCGCACCAGCGAGGCCCAGAAGTGTTCGTCGGGAGAGTACGTGTCCTCGGACCATGTGAGGAAGTCCTGCGCCACGGGACTGTCCCGCACGAACTGCACAAAGTCCCGCGTCAGCACAAAGTACGCGCTGCCCATGAAGACCTGCACACCATGTGGCGGCGGCGGCTTGGGGGTGCTGGTCTTCACCGGGAGACGATGGTACTCGAAGGGCGCGGGCCTCAGCTGGTGCCTGAAGCTGAAGCGCTGCGTCTTGAGCGCGCTGGGCCGACTGGACTCTAACATGTTAGAGCTGTTCAGAGCTCGCAGCTCCAGCACCAGCTCCTGCGGCGTCTTCAGAGGGAAGTCCTGTCCGCACAGGTTTATCACGTACCTCCAGGGGGCGGCGGAGAGCAGCAGGTCCCACAGACAGTGCAGGTCGGCGCGCAGCCGGCTCACGTGCGCGTAGTGCACGGCCTCGAGCCGCGACGCGATGAAGACGTTGGGCAGACAGCGCTCCAGGCGCCGCATGGCGCTGATGAAGGACGCAGACGACTTCAGGTCGTAGTGGATACAGTACACGTTCTCAGGAGAGTACACGGCACGCAGGATCCGCTCCACCATCGCAGCGTTCTTATGGACCACCAGAGAGAAGGCCAGAGGAAAGGCCTCTGCTGGTGCCTCTGCTGGTGCCTCTGCTGGTGCCTCTGCTGGTGCCTCTGCTGGTGCCTCTGCTGGTGCCTCTGCTGGTGTGTAGCCTCGCCGCAGGAGCAGGCTGCAGTCCTCGCTCACGCGGTCGTCGTCCTCCACCAGGGGCACACGGCGCAGCTGCAGCGCACGGCCCACCTCCACAGGCTCCAGCTCAAAGATGGCAGAGCAGTTAATGTGTGTGGGGGAGACGGAGGAGGGGGAGACGGAGGAGACAGGGGAGGAAGAGGAGGTCACACTGACGCGCACAGAGATCAGCTTCAGGAAACACAGCAGCAACGAACACAGACACAGGAAACACCTGAGTCTGAGGCACTGAGGACGACAACGCATCTGCAACACACAGACACACACAGGGTTACACACAGACACACACAGGGTTACACACAGACACACACACACACACACACGAACACACACAGACAAACACAGGGTTACACACAGACACACACACACACACACACAGACACACACAGGGTTACACACAGACACACACAGGGTTACACACAGACACACACAGGGTTACACACAGACACACACAGGGTTACACACACACACACACAGGGTTACACACACACACAGACACACACAGGGTTACACACAGACACACACAGGGTTACACAGACACACACACACACAAATAGTTACACACACACAGTGTTACACACACAGACACACACACAGAAATAGTTACACACAGACAGTAGCAGTAGCAGTAGCAT